GTAACAAAACCATCAAATCAGATAAAGGTTATTTAAATGCTGCAAATGAAGAATGGATTGGAATAAAAAAAAATACATATCCTAACCTTAATTACTGGGGGAAAATGATGATTATGATCATAGTGAGTAAGAAGTTAACCGAGTGCATTTTTTGGACAGAGATTCACTTTTAATGTGTATGTATAATATAATACAGATATATAAAAATACACTCCAAAAATAGAGTCCTTGAAATGTACAAAATATTGATAAATAAAATTATAAAAATGGAGGCAACTTTGCCTATGGTACAATGTATGAAAAGATCTTTACTGCACTAATATGGCTCTGCAGATTTTTTTTTTTATTTTAAACTATGTTGCCTCACCTTGAGGTTGGCAAATCTGTCTATCACTTTTTGGTGATCAACTCTCTCAAGCAGTTTAACAGTTTCTGTTTTGCCTGTCACTATTCCCTGTCTGTTTTTTACCTGGTTCTTCCTGACCTTTTAGCCCCAAAATGGGCTAAAATCGCCCCTGTTGACCGTCTTGTTTACTTATTCTTGTCAGCAAATCAGGCTGGAACCCTTTATGCCTTCAGAACTGTCTTATCTATTTTTGGCATGGATTCATCAAGGTACAGGAGTCTGTGGTCTAGTCTCTAGAACACTTCTAGAGATTTTGGTCCATACTGACAATGCCAGCATCACACAGTTGCTGCAAATTTATCAGCTGATGCTCACTGGATATGCTCTCTTTTTTGGACCATTCTCTAAGTTGAAGGCTAAGTGCACTGAGTTGCTTTAGATATACTGAGTTGATTAGATATTTGAGATATTTCTGTTAACAAGTAGTCAGGCAGATAACATCTAACTCAAGGAATGGAAAGGCTACACATAACAGACAACTTTGTAAACAACCAGTCAAACTGTATCTTTAGGTCCTTTGTTACTAGTACCTAGCAACTTACTTCATATGAGTCAAAAAATATCAAAGATAACACATTTTAAAAGTGTATAATAGTATTTTATATTATTCCCAAAGAGCTAGCCAATAACTTGGGGTATCTCCACATGCTATGCAGTGTGTGCTTAAAGGCATTTGAAGAAACTAGACAAGGAGGAGGATAAAAGCAGCACAGGCCTGACAAAAACAAACAAACAAAAAAACATCTACAACAGATGATC